ACCGTGGCCGCTTCGTCCCTTGCGCTGGTATTCGCTCTCGCTCCGGGTGGCATCGTAGGTCTGCTTTGGCTCAAGGAGGTATTGAGAGCCCAAGCATGACGTGGTGACTGTACTAGGGTCAGAGGGGTGAGGCTCGACCGACAGAGCTTGGCATATAACGAGGGACATTGTAAGCAGGGCCTTGTGGTCGTCTGATTCTTCTAGCTCCACCGTATGTTTTCTATTTGTGTGTTGGAGCAGCTCAAAACTGTGTGAACTGGTTGAGTGGTGACAAGAGATGTCAGCCACTAGAAAAAGATATTCTATGAGCTTTTGTGGGATGTAAAAACTCCACTCGAGAATAGAGTGCCAAGACAGATGTAATGCAAAAGCGCGAGTACGCCACTCGCGTCCCCTTGCCTTATATAGGTCATAGACCCAAACTCGGCATCGTGGACCCAATTTTTTTTTGACCAAGAAGCCATTGCGCTCATTGCACGGAAGCTGATGCAGGAGCAAGCAAACTCCTTCTACTATAGCCTTCTGTCAGTGTACTGTGATCTCAACTACGAGTCATCCCAAAAGAGGACTGGACTCACGCCGCATATGCTGGTGCGAGTTACTTCCATCATCTGGAGTTCCTTTCTTTCGTGCTCGTCCTTAGCTGTTGTTACGCTCCGGTTCTGTGAGGACTGAGAGGCTTTCGACGAGCAGAAGATGAATCGGTGCATACCTCCCCCTGGGTGAGGGGAGGGGATCATTACACGGACAGGAGAATGAAAGTCCGATCTGAGTACTTCTCCCCGACTTTCCCTTTCGTCTGAAGATACTCGCACTGAGAGTGAACGTGCCCTGCGCTGACTGGCCACGAAGTATTGCATGGGTACGGGTCGCTCTATACGAGGCGAGGAGGTTCGACAAGTACTGTACCCGCGAGGTGATACTCCTTTCACATACAGTATTCGTACGCAACGACGTCCTCAATCTAGGCCAAATCGACTCGGGCGTGGTGACGGCGGATGTGGCGGGGATTTCAAATTATCCCACAATGCAAATGTCCTAAATTCTGTCATCCATGCAGCCCAAATCGACACGGAAACGGTGAGTGTGGGAATATGAGGGCCTCGACATCGAGTGTGAAAGGAACGATGAAGGAAAACACCGGGCTTGATAAATTAGATATAGTACATCTGTATGCACGAGGATGATCAGTTCGCATGATACTAGTACAAAAAAATGTTGTCCACGGGTCCAGGTGAACCACGGAAGCTGGCGATTACCGTAGAAGCGTGAGGAGCTGAGGATGACTGACTCAGACAGCTACATTCTTGTTGGAGAATGCTTAATGACAGCGAACGTGTTGCGAAGTGATGCAGAGGATAACGAAGAGTGAGAAGGAGGATTGCTCTGACCGGGATGGAGAAGAGCAAGAGCCATATGTGCGTCAAGTAAAAGGATAGGTGCGCGGTAGAGTACGGTAAGCACATTGGTGAGCTGACTGATTGAGTCATTGTTCTTGGAGTGATTGACTGGACCGGTACGCGGCTTGACCTGTCACGCGACTGCGACGAAATCCTACAGTACGTCAGTAGTTGTGTCCAGTGTGAGCATTCTTTGGCGCCCCAATGATATGGATTCATTCTTCTGTCCTCATCATCGAACATGGAGTAATGTAAATAACTCGATCAGTGATGATTATTCCGGGTGTGACTGTAGCATGGCCTACGGAGAGCCCGTGCATCACCACCCACCCCCCCCGTATGACAGATAAAAGAGAGACGACTTAAAGCTATGCCAATGCGCACGCTTCTCTCCCGCGATGCGATGACGAACTTCAAGTATCAATAATGCGCACAATCATGCCCACGCCTATGCCAAGCTCACAACACTCTCCTCTTTGATGGGGAGCGCGATCGCTCCCTCTCGTACCTCCTGTCCCTGTCAGATCTGTCCCTGTCACGATCACCTCCGTCTCTCTCCCTATATCTGTCGCTTCGGTCTCGCTCTCGGTCTCGGTCACTCCTGTCCCTGTCTCGGTCACTCCTGTCCCTGTCTCGGTCACTTCGATCCCGATCTCGTCGGTCTCGGTCGTCGTATCTGCTGCTTCTGCTGGTAGGCGAATGAGAGCATACAGTCAGCCCATGTGTTTGTTCTTGACCAAATTATTGTTTCATGTTGTGAAGGATAAATATCAAAAACAAGACTCACCTCTCTCGATCGTACTTGTCGTACTTATCATCCCTCTCCCGATCCCTGCTACTTCGATGTCCCGAGGCTGATTCTCTATGCCCTCCTGCTGATCCCTCATCCCTACTTCCTCTTCGTTCCTTCAGATCATCCTCAAGCTCTCCAGCTTCTCGCTTCACTTTATCGCCGTGCCCAACGGTGGGGATCTCGTCCGCCGGCGGAATCTTGGGGTGGATAGGCGTATGGGGAGCTTCGCCGGGGGGTGGTCCCGGCGCGGGCGGGGCTAAGGTTGATCTGGGTCCTGCGGGAGCGGAAGAAGGGATAGAACTGTTGTCGGCAGGGCCGGAGCCGGCCTCGGGGTTGAAAGAGCCATCGGCGGCGCCGGCAGCACCACTCTCAGGCTTGTCTTTGACAGGAATGATAGGCCACGGTCGACCTGTCATTCGGGCTTCGGCGAAGACGCCGAGCAGCTTTCGGAGCTCATGGTAACCCAGATGAAGCTAGAAGAAAGTGCGATATAGATAGTAGAATCAGCACTCCACTGAGCCAGCATTGAGAAATGTACTACGAAGACCTAAACTCACCTTACCACCGAAGTGGTCGGCCAATCGCTTGTCGGAGTCCAAAACGGAAAGCATGGCGCCCTACGAGCGAGGCAAAGCACAATATCAGCATGCTGGCTTGTATCTAGAGGCGACCCTTTTTCGTCTTGCTTCCAGCGCAGACGATGCTTTCTTTGCGTTGGCTTTTGCCTCCATTGCAAAGGCGACACGATGATCAAGGAACATGAGCCCACTCACACAGGTCTCACAAACACGCAGCTTCTGATGTCCACTTGCACCCGCATTCTCGTTCAAATGCTGCAATTCTTTCTCTTTATCCGATTTGAGCTGTTTCAGCGCATCGACAGCAGCGAGCTTCTCCATTGACTCTTCGACTTTGCCCGCTTCTCCCAGAGCTTCAATCTCCTCCGTTCCTCCCTGGATGGAAAGCTCGATCTCGCCGATTTCTCGCATCTAGGTGACAAGCCAACACGGGATTGGAGAAGACATCGGACTGTCAGCACAGGGTCTCTCCCACAGAAAGACGTTGAACAGAACACATGATATCCCTGGGAGATTGCATCGCGCTCGGTCGACCCACCAGATCGATAGTCTTCCTGTTCTCCTCTGGCGTCTTCTCCAACTTCCTCTGACTCGCCCTGATTCGTCTATCCACATCATCCACGATCCCATAAAGGTTGTTCTCGTGCTCCTGCCTGAAGGCCATGATCCTCGGGTCGTTAGGGTGAGCCATCGCGTGTTCTTGGAACTGCTTCAAGATACGATCTTGATGGATTTTGGGGCACGGTCCGAGGTCCATTTTCTGTTGGTTGCGGGTTGTCAGTGATCCATTCAGCATCTTGGTCGGCTCACGGCAAGCCTTCCCGGTTGCTAGAAGAAGGATAGGCAGACACAATGGATGTGTGTACTGATGGTTGTTACAGCACAAGCCAAGGAGACAGTTTCTTCACTCACAGTGTTACCGAACAGGATATGGGGACAAGTGCCGAAGAGGAAATTTCGGCAAACTCTCTCCGACCACCAATCGACATTGACAGGCTGAATACCCATCGCCTCGGGTCCCATCATTTGCTGCGAGTCGGACGAAGAGCATGTTTCATGTAGTAATGCGCCGAGTACAAGATATTCGAGTAGACAGATGGCAGCCAAACAAGCAGAGATATCAAGGGTGAGCGCACGCCTTAATAGCAGAGACGGAAGAACCAACTCCGGGGGAGAGAGAAGGGGGTTTTGGACTTTGCTCACCTCGAGCAGCCTACGCTGCATCTCTGCCATCCGTCCCATCTTGGCGGTTGCGCGATGACTTTCCTAGATGATGATATTTGGCGATAGAGAGCAGGAGTCTAGACTGATGCCTTGTCTGGTTGACGATGAGTTATATTCCAAGGGATAAATACATAATCAAGGTGTACTAGTCCTGGCGTCCAGAGATGTTCTTGCGAGCGACTGACGGCTTCAGTCACTAGACGTTGTTTCGTGGCACTATGTGACCCCTCCATATAAAGCGCTCTGGGTGGCACGTGGCTGTCAATAGATTATCTCAAGTCATCCGGCTGATTGTCTATTTCACGAAGATGACTCTCGCGAATCTTAAGCACAAGCCTTGAGAGGAGCCAACGATCACCCCGACCTCAAGCAAGTCGGAGATGTTTGCCTGCTATGTGCGGCGATGCCTCAGCTCAGCAACGACCGACACGGTCAGGAGGAACAGTCACGCGTCGCGCCCAAAAGTACAATTGTCGTGGCGGAAGGTACAGTCTCAAATTGTCTTCCGGCTCTGCAAGTAGATTTGTAGAGATGACCGATACCGGAGAGACCCCAATCAATCTTCAATATGGATAAGAGACACCATGGGGAGTGACAGATCGCTGTGGAAGGCCTGGATGAGAATATACAAAACCGTTGACTTTATATACCACGCACAGACCATTCTTTCAGAAGAAATGGTCACGTGATGGAGTTGGTCACCATACCTGTCTAACAGTTTTCTAACTGGTTCACAGGAGGTCGGCAGTTCGATCCTGCCCGGGATCACTTTTTGGGGCTTTCCACAAGCATCCCGTAATATGGCTTATAACCCGTCGGATCTCGTTTTCTTGACTGTGAACGCTTTGGCCAAGAATTATGCGTTGAACAAGCAAGGTAGGGCCTGTACGTTGAGCGTGCGCGTCACCCACGTCGCGGAGCCAGCCGGATCTGGTTTCATCCTTTTCTCAGAAGTAGACGACGACCTGACTTACTCAAAGGACATAAGGCAAGCCAAAAAAAATATGATCCCGGGCAGGATCGAACTGCCGACCTCCTGTGTTGAACAGTCAAGTACTGTTAGACAGGTATGGTGACCAACTCCATCACGTGACCATTGTAATGAAACTGCTGTCTTTGTCTCATACAGTATCTGACGATCTTTCGCTGGGAATAGGCGTGTCCGCTCGTAGATGCCAGAGAATGGTTTCAACTAGCGAAATATCGGTGGTGATGAGATTAGGCCTACATATCTAAGCTCGTGACGGACCGATATAGTTTTGAGTGGTAGTGGTCTCTTGTTCGCTGTCTGTCATTCCGGGGCAAGCGATGAAACAGGAGGTGAGGTCATGCGAAGCACCTCGATGTACAGGAATTAATGTCGGCCCTCTACTGTACTATGTTCACTCCGATCCATGTGGTTCAAGAGATCAGAATGCAAGATCGATAATTGATGACACGTGTCAGATAGATAAAGGAAAAGGGCTACAGTATGGATGTATTCTAAGGGAAAGTAATCGAAATCTATCCTTCATTACCTCTCGTGCACTCGCTTTCTAGACAAACGCCCCTCCTCTGCGCTGTCCTTGCCCTGCACCCTATCTATCCGTATTTAGCTTGAGCTCTATCTCTAGCTAGAGCAACTGCACTGGAATCCCAGCATGTCCTTATCGCCCAATCCACAGAGTCGGCGGTCTTCCTCCCACTCTGCTTTTGAGGAGGAAGGGGAGCCTTTACCGGGACCAGGGTATTCGGCGCCTTCGCCGTAAGGCTGGAACGGTCTTGTTGACATCTGAGAAGGGTAGATCAGAAGAAACGTTTGTCAGCCATCGCTAGAGAGTTTTTCTATTACTGTTTTTCTGGAATTTGGATTGACAGCAGTGATGAAGCAGACAGCGGATCGAAGCGATGTCATGCAAAGAGGACACTCCCCGACACTCACATCCAAAATCTTCGCCAATACTCGCCTCGCTTCCCTGATCCCTTCGTCGACCTTCCATTCCTCCGGCTGCTGCTTACCCTTCTCCTGAGCCTCGATATAAGGGTGAGTCAGCGCCTGCTCCATCTTGGCGATAGTTTCTTCCAATACCCATTGACGAAGCACGAATCTGGGATTGACAGCCTTCATTGCTTTCTCCCTAGCTTGGTCAAATTCCTGTGCGCTGGCGATACCGCCGTATGCCGTTTTCTCTTCGTCCGCGGTGGATCTCGCCGCATATGATATGAGCCATGACTTGAATGCGTCTTTGGCTGGACTAACCGAATCGATGGTACAGGCGGCAGCAGTGGCAGAACTGGTCGTGGTTTGCTGGATGAAATCCGATGCAAAGGTGTCCAAGTACTCGGACGACGAGGAACTGCTACCAGAATCATCAGAGATGACCTGAGAAGGCCTGAATTTTGATAAAAGCCTGAAAGAGGTGTGGAAGTCTATCGAGTGGGCTTGGAGGAGAGCGAAATAGTCGTAGGTGATATCGCGGTCGTCGGAGTCTTTGTACGTTTTCAGGCCGAAGCGCTATAAAAAGCAATGCGGTGAAGAGTATAAGCTCAACTCGATTCTGATGGGGCTATCCGTGGTTCATTTTTCGAAACGACGGGCATACAGTACAACGAGTGTGTATAGATCAGGAGTGAAGCGGAGCTGAGGCAGCACTCCACACTCACTTTGGTCCAGCCCCTCCTCTCCTCCTCTTTCTGCACTTCCCAAAACACCTTCTCCCACCCATCCATGACTTCCTCAGCTTTCCCCTCCCATTCCTTTCTAGTCTCTTTGCTGAGACCTTCGCTGAAACCGGAAGGCGGGGGAATAGAGTGAGTCGCTTCGTAGCCGATCAGAGGGGCCAGGGAGGCTACTAATTTTTCTAGAGCGAAGAGGACTCGAGGGGGCTGGTTCCGGTACGAATAGAGTCCGGAGGGGTCCGAGTGGTCTAGCAAGCAAGCAACAGAATAATGTAAGATTTGATTCACTTGTGAACAACTTGTAGGGAGAGCTACCGAGGTTATTGTGGTGTCAGGTAAAGGTGACGCGCGACTTACTGCAGATGTGCTTGTCGTCGTATACATCCATGAACGCGTATGGACCGAAATCAATCGTGTCTCCCGTCAAGGAGATGTTGTCTGTATTCAGTACGCCGTGCATCCAGCCGTACACCTACAAGCAATTGCGAACGCATCATGCACACATGTCAGCACCAATCCCCTATGATACCGCTGCGTATGATCTGTTCCGGACGTGCAGGAGATATTGTACTTTGCGCCCAGGCGAAAAAGCCTGACTCACCTGCCACTTTGCCACCGTCTGCGCATTTCTCCTGACAACCTCCTCGACCCATTCTTTGATGGACTGTTCCTTCATATCCATAATATCCCCTTTCACCCACTCGGTCAATTTCCTCAATCCCTCCAGATTCCCTTCTCGGTCTTGATCCCCATTTTCAGTCTGATCGTTCAGCCATCCCGAACCTCCCATGAAGAACTGCCTCATCCCCACGTCGGAAGCTGCCGGGTTGAGGGCTTGGAAATGCCCTATTCGGATGAACGAGGGGGCGACTCGGCATAGTAAGGATGTGGGTTCGGGACCTTGTTCTCGGATCACGGGAAGTGATGGTAAGGGGGACGTGAGGAGGGCAAGGGCTCTGGTCGTGCGGATGTCCAGAGCGGCGATGGCTGTAACGATTTGCAACGGTGGACGGGCTTAGCTATTGAGACGCACCATTCCACACGAACAAGTAGGAGTCATGACGTGGCAAAGGAGAAAGGTTTATCGCCACTGGACTCACCCTCGCAGCCTAAAAACTCTCTTACGCCACTCCTCAGCACCGCCAACCCATCAGCCGTCCTCGAAAAGGGTGTTCTTCCCGCCCCCTTCAACTGCAACTCCTGCCTCCCGCCTTCTTCACTCTCCGTTTCTAATATACTGATTGCTCTTCCATCTCCCAGCTGCCCGGCCCAGACCCCGAACTGGTGCCCGCAATACCGCGTAGACCAGGGTCCGTAATCCTTCTGCTCTCCAGTCTGTCTTGCTTCATTCCCTTGCTCGTTCGGCTCTGTCTCTGACTTGAGTACTTTCCTTCCTGATAAGATATCAACCAAGGCGTTTCGGACCAGCGCTGCGGGTGTAGCATCAGGAGAAGGGGAAGCGCCCCTATTACATATGGTAGGCGCGTCTCCTACAGTCAGATGAGGCAAAGCGTCATTCAGCGTCGAGGTGGATACACCCAACAAGATAGGCTCGAGCTTCATCCGATGAGCCGAGCTGAACGTGTTGAGTCCGTTAGATTCCCCTTCTTCGGGATCATGCGGTATCCCCGTATGTTCCAATTCCTTTGGATCCCACCTGGCCAGGACATCTTCCACGCTAACCTGCTGCCCTTTATCTACCTCCACGCCCATAGCCAGCGCTTCGGCTTTGGTCATGCGCAACGGCCATGGTGACCACAGGGGATTGACCCGGGCCCACACACCCTCGGAGTCGGTCTTGAACGTCGTAGCTCGTCTTTGGGCAGAAGGCTGGTCTGCCAGAGGTAATTCGGAGAGAGTGTGTTGCAGGGTCGTAGGTGGCAAGGGCAGCCGATGGAGGGGGAGCTTCTGTATAGCCATTTTGGGCAAGGTGAGTCGCATGGGCGGTAATTGTTGTGTCAAACGAGTGGCGAAGTAATTTTGAGATATCTATGTATATTTGGCAAAGGGAATCTGTCAGCTCTGGATTGGCCAGTCCGAGATTGTTTTCGGTTCTTGATGATAAATCTTGTCTCTATCTTGTCTCTGGTTCTCCACCGCCGAAAGCAAACGATGACGATGAAAGTCATTGATCGAGTACAGTGGCAGTGGCAAAAGCAAAAGCAAAAGCAAAAGCAGCGGGACCCCGCGCTCAATCACCGTAATCCCCGGAGTTGTCAAGTGATGCAGATTTTGAAAAAAAAAGAAATATGCCACATCACCACATCACTGTCATCAACTTATATAGTATAGCCGCCCTGGTAAATCAACAAGCGCCCTGCTTGGCTTTTTCAAAAATATTTTGAATAGGATCTTATCAGATTACAGTTACAACCAGACAGCTCTCTCTCCTCTCAGATCATAGGCAAGTCTCTCGCCGGCCGACTGCCCAAACCCTTTGTAACACCTTATTTTCTCCATTGTCGTAACGAATAAATCTTTTACATATTCTCACATCTTCGGCCATCTCCATCAGCCCATTCACTTCTCGACCCACCTTACCATGTCCGTTCAAGTAACTCCCGAACAGCTGTCCGCCCTCCGAGCGACATTGCTCAACACTGCAGGAAACACGCCCCTGCACGAGAGATTCAGGTCTCTATTCATGCTCAAGGCTGTCGGAGGCGATGAAGTTGTGGATATCGTTGCTGAGGGTGAGCACCTAATCTTTATAGATTCAATGTTATTCTCGTACATGCCATCGCAAGCCTGGGAACAGGGAAGGGTATGATTACACTTCTCCTCACGTCAACAATAGCTTTTGGCTTGACATTCGAGAACGAGAACGAAGAAACACAATTTAAAGAGATGTAATGCATGTGCTTATTTCCCATTCAATGTCCCTCATTTGCAGGACTCAAGGACCCTTCACCTCTGCTCAAGCACGAGCTAGCCTACGTCCTCGGCCAACTGCTCAACAAGCGAGCCATCCCCATCCTTTCAGAGGTGCTCGTCAACCCCAACGGAGCCCATTGCTCAATGGTGCGACACGAAGCTGCCGAAGCGCTCGGAGCTATCGGTGATTTGGAATCGCTACCCGTATTGAGGAAGTATTTGGACGACCCTAGTAGAGAGGTCAGGGAGACTTGTGAGATCGCTGTGGGGAAGATCGAGTTTGATAATTCCGAGGAAGGAAAGCAGAGAAAGCAGAAGTGGGTAGACTGAAAAGCATCCGATCGTCCAGATTCCAATCGCCCTGCTGCTCTGTGCTATCGACTCCTGCGAGCACTCAGTCCCTTCGACAATTCCTCAATGACTCACTCCTTTTTCATCTCTTTGGCTGTTCGGCCCTTCTTGCCACTTTCTTTCATTTGAGCGACAGAAGAAGTGAAGAAGCGCGATCAGTCTGTCTCTCCACCATCCACTTGCCTTACGCTCGAATGTACCTTCATGTCGCT